TATATATATATATAACTTGGATCGATTTTAGTTTCCTGGAGAACTTGCGGTGGGTTTGCCGCTGGGTGGGGGTAGTGGTTTCGGTGTTTGTCGGCTTTGGCTGCTGGTAGGTGAAGGTGTTGGAGTTTGGCGCTGGTTTGGTTCTTCTACCCCCTGTTCTCCCGTCTCCCTGGGGTTGGGTGGTGGGTCTTGCTGGTGGGTTTGGGTCATTGGCTCCGGTGGCTCGTTGGCCTTCGGTTGCCGGTCAGTGTGGGGGTTGGTGTTTTGGCTGGTCTCCGGTTTTTGGTCCAGGGGTCATGAATTGGTGGTTTGGGACTAGTTAGGCGTAGCAATACTGTAGTTTTTGTTTTGGAGCGTTGGACCGGATCTTTGTCCGTTTTTGGGTGGTTGCCCTCACTGTTGTGGTTTCTTTTTGCGGAGTAGCTTGCCGACTGCCGAGGAGGGCTTTAGTTTAACTACTAGGTTGTTTTGTAGTTAGGTTTTGTACTATCTTGTAAGTGTGTGTGTGTGTGTTTCTTCTATTTAGGAGCAGGAGTGTGTATTCTCCCATTTGGATGTATGCATTTTGCGCTTGTGGGAGCTTTTAGTTCTTTTGTGTTGTGTTGTTGTATCTAGGCTACCTTAGGTAGGCCTCGTGGGTTCGGCTAGTTAGCCGAGTGTAACTATGTGTTTTCAGTAATGAATTTTATCGTTCCGAATAAAAAAAGGAAAACTTGGATTGATTTTTTTATCTTAATTTATTTTTTGATGGTAGGTTGGGAACGCATTTGTGCAGCAGTACTATCACATACTGCATCACTCACCGGGGCTGGTTCACAGGTTTTATCAGGACATGAGTAAGCTTGGTCGCCCTGAGGCGGATGGCTCCTTAAGCATAACCACAACTATGCAAGTAATCTAATCTATCTTTCACTCGTTTTCTTAAGCATTTGACCATTTGTGTTTTTGTCTTTCAAGTTTTTAATCAAGGAAGTAGCAATTACATACCTAAAGCATCAGCCTTTTGATTTGTTTGGCCACAGTGAATGTTGAGAGAAATTAGAAACAGAAAGGATTATACGTGTTATGTTTTGTATGTCCTGATCTTGGTATTGTGCATAAATGTACCGAGGAGGTGGTTGGGAGAAGTGGTTCCTGTTTTGTAACAAAATTGTAGCCATGACTTGCTCCTTCTTTTATGGTCTTTAAATAAAAAAAACTCTCTTGATGTGATTTGACAATACAGGCGATCAATGAGAAGATTGTCTCGCTCAACTATGAGAACTTGAGAGCGGAGATCAAGTCTGTGGATGCACTAGAATCGTATAATGGTGGAGTTAACGTGCTTGTAACTGGTCATCTTACAGGGCAGGATAACATAGTTAAAAATTTTGCTCAATCCTTCTTTCTTGCTCCACAAGACAGGGGCTTCTTTGTTTTGAATGATATGTTTCGTTATGTTGATAATATCAACGTGAACCCTGCTGTAGTCAGTGATGTTGTGGTGCTGCCTCCACAAGAGCAAGGTTACTGAGAAACGGTTACTCTACTATTTGCTTTTCTTCTTAATTTCATTGTTCTGAAAGTTAAATCTTTATTTTCTCTTCTTTTTTTTTTCCTTTTTTTTTTTCTTTCTTTTCTTCTTTTTTATGGGCAGCTCCTGCTCCTCCAGTCGATGACAATCATACTTCTGAACAAAGTACGCCATCGGCAGAGGATGAAGCCATTGCAGGTGAAGTTTACAACCCACCTGAGAATGGAAATTGTGTGCCTGTTGCCGAAGAGGAAGAAGTCCCTGTACCTGAGGTAGTTGATGCAGTGCAGGATGATATAGAGCAGGTGGTTGTACCCGGGATCAAAAGTGATGAAGTTCCCAAGAAGTCTTATGCATCTATTGTAAGTATTCACGGGAAGCTTTGAGAAACGAGGGTACCTCTGAGTTGTGCATCATTTTGTTGGTTTATCCATTTATCTCTGCCATTGAGTTGTCCGTATATAAAAATGTGTCTGTTTTTTAGTGCTCTTTCTTGCTAAGAATGCGATATGTGCAAGTTTTTTTTTGTTCCTCCGATACATATACCTCTCCTGATATTATTTCAGGTGAAGCATCTCAAGGAAACTGCTGCAAGTTTCTCCCCCCCTCCAGTGGTTCCTAGAAAAGCACCACCAACGAGCATGGAGCAAGTGAACCCCGCTGTGGTCCCGACACCTCATGGACCAGTTTCGAGCTTTGATTCTGTTGAGATTGAACATGACGAAGAAGAAGAAGGCATGATTTCAGAATTTTTTATTTGCATTTTCATGTTTCCAGATTCCTGTCGTTAGATCCTCTGGTGTCCTTGGTTTATTTTCTTTCAATACTCTCAAACTATATGTCCTGTGCTTTGTGCAGCTGATGGTTACTCGATATATGTGAAGGGACTTCCAATGAATGCTACTGAAGCCTTACTTGAGGAAGTCTTCAAGAAATTCGGTACTATCAAGAAAGATGGGATTCAAGTTAGAAGCAACAAGGTATATAGATTCTAAGCGAGTCCTGTTGCCTTCATGTTGAACGATCCATGATGATTGTTTACTCAGTTTGCATTTTTAGGAATTACAGAAATATGAATATAGTCATTGAATTTTACTGCAGCAACAAGTGTTTTGCTTTGGCTTTGTGGAATTCGAGGAGGCTAGTTCTGCGCAAAAAGCCCTTGAGGTATGTGATCTGGTGTTTATGTTTGAGATAATTAGTGTCAGAAAATAGAGTTATATCTCATATATTTGTAAATTTAAAAGCTTTGGAAAAATCAGAAAGTGTAATAAATGATGATTGCATTTCATTTTCTTGTTGTTCTCTAACTTCCATAACCAATCTATCAAATATTAATCGGACTTACAACTTACTCTTATTTTATAGCCGACGGAGTTGTGTCTGATGATGGTATCAGTTGAACTGTTTTTCCTTGGGAATGCAATGTTTCACATTTTTATAAACTCAATTTAGCTTCATCACATCTCAGTTCCTTTTGGTGTTTTTCCACTTCCTATTTTTATATTTCTATAATTATATTGCAGTAGTCTTGATGTTCTTTTGATAGAACATTATTAGCTGGTCGTTTGCATTTAAGAGTGTTATCACATGATCTTGACGTTTCAGGCTTCTCCCGTATTAATTGGTGGGCGCCAAGCCATTGTTGAAGAAAAAAGGTCTACAAATTCTCGAGGCAAGTGCCTTTTTTCATGTTAAAAGAAATTCAATTCCATGGAGAATCACAAGAATTCATACCGATCTCCAGCAGATTATACTCACATATGTGTTAACATCAACAATGATTATTCCCCAACTAATTTGTTCTATTGTTCATGTTTTATATATATGTATATATATATGTGTGGAAACAGGAAGTAACAGAGGGAGGTTTCATTCAGGAAGAGGGTCTGGATTCAGAGGACGTGGGAACTATGGAGGAGGTGGCAGGGGTGGGTACAATAAAGGGGATTTTAACGGCATCGGAAACAAAGGAAATCGAGGAGACCGTGATGGATATCAGAGATCTGAAAACAGCACTGTCAATGGGGCCCGCACAAACCGCATGCTCAATGCCAATGTAAAGAATCCAACTCCTCGCATTCCTTCTACTGCTTGACATTTTTTTCTTTTCTGAGATTTTGGTCATTGGGGGCCTTTTGGTCAGACTGCGAAATTTGAGCTGCGACTGTCTGGATTTCTTCTTATTTTTTATTTAACTTTCCGTTCGACCCTTCGAATTAGTTTATTCTCGTATTTGGGTATAGTTTATTCGTGTCAGTACGTGAGGTCCAGTAGGGATTTTTGTTAACTAGTGTGATGGCATTCATCTCAGACGTTTGGTAGTTTTACTCGTATTGAAGGAATTTCAGGTCTTCGACTGAAAATTACTTTTACCACAATTTAGAGTATTTGCTATTTGCTATGGACAGTTGCCAAGTGGAGACGATTTAAAGTGGTTTCTGATTTTGTACTACGAATCTGTCATTAGCTCTAAGCCTACAATATATTGGTACTCTGGATTCTGTAAGCTCGTGAGGGACTCTTGCAGTTGTGAGTCTGGCGATATAGTCATACCGAGTGTACATTCGTTATATAATACGAATACATTATAATGAAGGTACTCTCGTTAGGCTAATATATTGAATCCTGATGGAATGCTATTATAACGATTCTCCTGTCGTTATATAATACATTAGAAGGGTAGTGCACATGTTATAGTTATAATTTCAGTCATTTTGGTAGAATAAATCTACAACAATTACATCTTTGTTATATAATACATTACAACGAAGTACTCTCGTTATAGTTACATTTTTAGCCATGTTGATGAATAACTACTATAACGATTCGGCCTTTATTATATAATACATTATAATGAGACTAGTCGTTCTAATATTCTTATAATGACTGTTGAGCAAATACATTAGGTAAATTAAATACACATAATATTTAAATATTTAAATAATCACTGCATTGGAAAATATAAAAAATGATAATAATACACTAGTCAAAATATAAGTTCAAGGCTTGGCTATTCGTTTCATTGCATTATAAAACACATAAAAAAATAATACACCAGTGTAAATATAACTTTAAAGTCCAACAACTCTCTTTATTGAGGTTAATCTCCTCGCACATTCCTCAATTATGACCGAATTTTGGACACCTACTAAATTTACGCATTTTGCGAAGTTTGATAGTTGATTTTATTCGAGGCTCACCTGCTAATTTTTTCCTTTGTAATGTAGGTCTGACTCTCGGACGTCGCGATAGTGGCAACAACACAATTTTTGACATAATTTGTTTTGGAACTAGCCAATCGGTTTCATCGGGTAAAGGGTGAATGAGTTCAGAGTATGTCGCTCTCCAACAAGAACTCGAATATGATATAGTGCAAAATTTGTAGTTGTCATTTAGAAATCTTATTGCGGCAATGACATGTGCACATGGAAACTGATTCATATCAAATTTTCGGCATGTGCATAACCCTTCCTCGAGATTAACAACATGATTTTCACTAGTCTGCAAAGCCATCAGAGTTACATGAACCACTTTCAGTCCCTTAGACTCGTTATACCTGTTGCGCATCTTCTCCTGAAGTGGTGGGTAAGAAAGCTACTGCATTTAATAGACTTAAGTATTCGTGGAAGTACTTTTGCAATGTCGCTCTGATATGTTCAATCAAACCAAGGATAAGAAATTCTCAAGCATTCTTTAGCACAAATTTTAACGATTCATCATAGTTTGTTGTCATTATATTGAAATGAGTTGCTCTAAAATGTGCACTAGCCCAATAGTGCAAACCACCTTTCTATAGGTATTCTCGGATACCCCCCTCTTATCGTATAATGCTGCCATGACTGATCCAAAATGAGGTATTGTATATGCTTCGCCTGTTGCCCAGAACAATTCCATCTAATTCCAACTTTGGTAATTTAGATTTAGGTTTCTCACCAAGTGATAGTTACAATATCCATGATGTGCATGTTGAAACACTAAATTAAAAGCAACTATTCGAAACTATACAATATATGGAGAATAACGTGTTATATTTTTTACCTTTTCAAAAAAGAAAGTCTAAGAAAAAATGTTTTTGGAGTCTATTATTGCCCAAACCAAGTGGATAAATTTGACAATTTGCATCCTGACATGTTGCAATGAAAGTACCACTATCTCCCATCAACAATGTTCTATCCATAGATAATTGTATAGTGGTGTCTGGTAACATATCTTGAGGAAGGCCTAAGGCGCTCATGGTATCATTATAAATATACAAACCAAAATTGCTACTCTTCTCATAAAAGAGTGGAATCCACGAATGCACGACCCTAAAGCCCTGAATACTTAAAATGGCCATCAACACTTGTTCCAATGAAGGTGATTGTCCCATTATTCTTTTGTTCCAAAATATAACAATATTGTGGGATCTTTGCATAACTTTCTTTTGGTAACCTTGAATGAGACCACATTCCTAACGCTTTGCTGTAAATGCTTTGGTATAGCTGATAGGTATCTCGAACTTGTCTTGGACATCCAAAATAATATCAGCCGACCAACGATTCGCTACCACATCTATGTTTAAGCTTGCTCCTTCATATCTATAATCAAATCCAGTATGATTTTCATACTTTTCTTTGTCTGCTAGAATCACTCTTCTATCAAAGCACCACATTCCCTTGTTTTGAAGTCTCGTTCTGGTTCATTTGAGAATTATAAATCCGATTGGCGTCTTTATACTTTTCATAAATGTGCTTCCCAATCAGCTTATACGTTGCATGATTATGATTTTACGACGCAAACTCATAGCGCAAAGTGTGATTAACATGCAATAACATACAATGTCTTCGTTGATTTTATCACTTTGAATTTAAAGTGGGACTTCACAGGCAACAACAAAAGTTTCTCTACTATGTTTTTTTTTTTTTGTTCAAAAAGATTGTTACGTTGCAAATATTTACTCTCTGCAATTATCATGTAAGATTGACAATGGAGCAGACTCGTAGAATATCTTGCATTCTCAACCATAGCATCTTCTGTAACACCCCACCTAAACTTACTAAAATCAGAGTAAATTTTTCGCGCTAAAAAAGGAAAGCTCTGATTTAATTTTCGAAAACTCATATTAATTTTTCGAAAATACTTTAACTTTAATATGCAGGATGCTACTCAATTTAAATCTTAAATCTTTGATCTTTAATATCTTTAAACTACTAGGCATGCAACAAAGTATAATTCATTACTCTAAACATCTCAGGATTTAAGCATTCATGGACTGAAATTCTAGATACTGAAATACTGTAGCACTGAAATACTAAGTGCGGAAACAAATGCGAGCATGCCTGAACAAAGCATAATAACTCCAACATCTTCAAATATACATGACATGTTTACTGAAAAATATCCTCTCTATGACCACCACCACATCATCGGCTCACGCTCTACGCTCGGCACCGTTACCTGAAAAATGGTTGGTGGGGGGCGTGAGCATAAATAATCCACGTGCTCCGCCGGAACCGGCACTGAAATATACAGCTAATATAATAATATATCATGACATCGACATATATGCAAGTACTTAATGGGTCGGCAGAAAACGATATGATGATGAACATTCTACAAACAGATTAGGCATTCATCCAATAAACACTTAAATCAGCAACTATCTATAGCTGCTATTTAGCTGAATGTCTATAATTTCTGCTCGACTGGATAACTATAACTGGTGCTCTACTGACTACTATAATGGGTACTCGACTGGCTGACTATAATTGCTGCTCAACTGACCAACTATAATGATTGCTCGACTTTTTTTTTTGTTCGAAATGATAGAAATATTATAGATCAAAAGCGCACAAATGTACGAATACAAAGCAGCTCCTAGCTGAATGAAAGCAGCCAACAACTAAAAAATGGGAGGATTGGTCAAAAGACCGCCTAGAAACCCAACTAACAACGCTAGAATAAGGCTCACAACTAAACAAAACAGCTACACAAGCAACTAAAAAAACTAAAAAGGCCCCAACAGGGTAATACCCGAGTGTCAGATCCCAACAGGATAATAAAGTGACACTCTGGTTCACAGAGGCCAACGTCGGGAAAGAAGCTGATATAAGTCCTCAACTCCGGTAGCCAATCAACGGCCCAGACGAAAAACACAAACCTAAACTACACGAAAACAGAAACAAAGATCTACCAAGCTAAAACAAAAAACATAAATGAGGACACAGCCTCCCTCGCCTGATACATCAAGATGTACAACAGACAAACCGACTCCAAAGAAAGCTCCAGAGCACGGAAACAATCGGCCGCCGCTGCATAAGGCCTAGCAAGACGAGAACCCGTACCCCAGGACCAACCGAAGAGCTAGCCCGCACTCCAATCACGTGAAAAAACAACACGGCTAGGCTTCACCGAGTCAGCCTGCCAGAAACAGCACTCGCTTAACCTTGTCCGAATCAGCTGAACACAACTAATCAGCCGAGCACTTACCGATTGCAACACCCTGACCCCAGCAGTAACTATGCCCCAACCGAGAACCCCCAAAACCAGCTCGACAAGAATGAACTGAGAGATTCTTCCGATCCCAAACAAAATAGAAAACTGAGACAAAGACAGCAATCTCGAGGGCTTACCTCCAATAGACACAACCGGGAGTCAAACAAGGAGAAGCCACTGCCAATCGCCGCTTCGCCGGCGAAAAGGCGCAGTCCAGACAGGCGGCGAGAAGGGCGAAACATGAAGATTGAGTACCGTCCCAACCAAGACCGACATCAGCTAACCCAGCCTCGTCCATAAGCCAACACCTCACCCCGACCCTCGCCTGCTGGACCTGGACTCCGGCGACCAAATATGGAGGAGAAGTCAATCCGTTTGCCTACGCGCGAACAAGTCGAAACATCAGCAAAGGGGACAAAGGGCTATGCCGCCATGGACGAGCAACGGAGGCCATCCGCCGACGGACCCTAATGACCGGCGAGGGAGTTTCTACCGACGAAATTGAAGAGGCGGAGCTGCTAGGGTTACGGACAATATTGGGGGAGAGGCGGACGAGCGACGTGATTCATTCACCGATGTTCATGATTGCTCGACTGACTGACTATAATTGCTGCTCAACTG